ATGTAGTTTGTATGTTTCTGGACATCGGTCTAATGTCGTGCCGGTTCAGAGAAGTAGTTATGTATGTTTGATGTCTTTGTGATTCATGCATGGTTATGTGTTATGTGTTATATGTTCCGAACTTAGGTCTGATACCGAGCAAGCCCGATGCAGTATATGTGATATGTTGTATGCCATGTGTTATGTATTTCGGGGTAGGCACGATCTATACTAGTTTATGTGTTATATGTTATTTGGTTCGGGCTTCGATCCGATGCCAGGGCAAGCCCGATGCAGATTATGTGATTATGTTATGTATGTGTCGGGGTAAGCCCGATGTCGGGGTAATCCCGATGTTGGGGTGATCCCGATGCCCGGTGCCGCCGGATGTCGGGGTAAGCTTGATGCCAGACAGGAGTCCGATGCCAGGTAAGCTGATGTTGGGATTCGTCCCGATGCAGTTGGGAGCAGTCCTAGAGTTATGTTATTTGTTATATGTGCTTTGCATGGTATGTGGTAGTTTTGGGGAGCTCACTAAGCTTCGTACTTACAGTTTCAGTTTTTGTTTGAAGTACTTCAGCTAGCAATGGGAAGGGCTCGAGCTGATGGCATGGCATACACCACATTCTATTAGCCTGGGAGTTTGTTCTAATATTTTATATGAGACTGTGATATGTTGGCAGATTTATGAGATTTTGAGATACATGTTCTACGATTTTATACTATGGTGATGATATTTATGTTTATTAAATGATTTTGAAAAAGAAATTTTGGCTGGTATTTTTGGGACATTAAAACAACATCATGTGGTGCACATACAATGCTAAAAGCTTTGCATCTATGTTTTCTATAATTATATATGCAATATTATTTCCAAAGCTTTGAGCCAACAACTAGCAAGCAAATGACATAATGAACATAAAAGAGAGTTATAGAACTACCTCTTTGTTGTAGATTGTTGAAGTTCTTGAGTTTGGCCTTTAAGAACTTAGTGTGCCAAGTGTTGCACCTCAAATGAAATCACAACACACTTTAGGACAAGGATGACTTTCTAGAGAGCTCATTCCACTCAAATCGGCTATAGTGGCTGCAAGAACACTAGTGTATGTAGTAGCCAATTTTGGATGCTAAGGAGCTTCTTATATAGTGTGGCAAGATTAGGGTTACACCATGTAAATTCTAATGTGTATGACCTGCCATATTGCTTAAGCTCCTTGGGTTTAAACCCCCACGGATAATCCATGGGTTGTAACATTGGTTTAGCCCAACCTAAAGAATCATGGATCATTGGCGTACACCATAAGAATGAATGATTTACCAAATCAATCCTCATATATTTAAAGTCTCTTTTGATCACAAAATTAATTCAAATTAATTCCTGATCAATAATAATTAAATAATATGATTTCATATAAAGAAAATAGAACTTATAATATATTAACAAATCATAAATAAAATTTTCTCAAAAGTACATCCTATCAAATTGTCCTGGTGATATGCAACCTAAATGGATCATGCTACTCTCAGATAAAGTACATAAAAATTATAGTTATAGGCTTAGACACATAATCCAATATAAGGATCCCCTGGAAGTTTACATTTAAATTGCTAAATCCTTATGATGCCTTTTTTCCTATTAGTTTTTTAGCTTGATTGTTGCTTATTTTGTGCTATGTTAAACTTACATTGATATTAGACAGTTATTAAGCAAATATGTTAAGTTGCATGCCACAAGGATTCATTGGTTTTGCAATGTTTGATTTGGACCTATTTCGTAGCTCTCATTTAAGTCAAACCGTTATAATGCAGGATCTTTCAGTCAAAGGACTGTTTATTCACTACTGCATGTAACTGTATTCGCAGGATAGTTAGTTGACATTGTTAGAAGTTTCTTTTGCAGCTAATATTGTTAGTTATCTTGGGGAGTGCAAGAGTGTGTTGGTGTGAGCACTTACGTATGAGGGAGTCTAAGGTGGGAATCTAGGTAGTTGGTGGCGGCTTCCCTAAGCATATGGGTATGCTGATACACATCGCAGTGGTGGTGTTCCTAAAAAGTGTTCTAGTTCATTCTCATGTGTGAGTGGATTCCTAGAGGGGAGTCTAGGAAAAGTGGTAGTGTGTGTTTGTGGTGGCACGGGTATCCATGATTAATAGTGGTCCTGTGTAGTAACGACTTAGTTAATTTTAGACAATTCCTGGGACACGTACGGATAGGAGTGGAAGGTACTATGGGCTCGTACTACTAAATGCACGGGATCCGTACAGGGATCAAGAAGGGTTGAAAAGGTCTGTAAGAAGCTAATGGGGTTAGATAGTATGGTGTACCACTAGCTTGAACTGTAGTTGTCCTTGTCGCTTTCAGCTTATCGGCTATGATTGTGCAGATTGAGACCAATAATCATTTGGTCCAAAGTGTCCATGGTAGTTTTGGTCTGGTTGGTGCATACCTACGAGGTTTTGCTGATTAAGAGACATTGAGGACCTTGCTCAAAGTAGTGTTTTCCTGCCTCCTATGCCCGAGGGAGGAGAAACCAGATGCGGGTCAGTCGAGGGTTAATAATGAAAGACAAAGAAAGTGAAGAAAATCTAAGGTTGCGTTTAGTTGCGGAAAAACAGTTTTCATTTCTGTTTTCTGTTTTCCGTTTTCAGCTTTCCTTTTCCATTTTCATTTTTCATTAGAAAATTTAGAAAACGTGTATAGTTAAATCTTATTCATTTTTCATTTTCTGTTTTAGAAAATTAGCAAATGCATTTAGATGTGCATTTTTTTTTATCAGTTTTCATTTTCTATTTTTTGTTATTTTAACTAATATCACAAACACCACCCTACCCCACCCCATCTTACCCACCCACCCCCACCGCCATCCCATCCTATCCCACCTGCTCTAACCTAACTCATCGAACACTACCCCACCCCACCCACCTCCTCCTTCCCAATGCCACCCTACCCTATCCCACTCCATTCTACCCTAACTCATACCCCACGCATACCTACCCACCACCACCTCCTCCAACCCCTAACCTACCTACCACCCTTATTCTTTCTACATATCACCCCCACCCCCACATACGTTTAATATATAAGAAGCAACATCAAATTCAATGTATGATTTAACATAAAAATAAACATTTTAATAAGACAAGTTTTACTATTTTAATGCTATCAGTATTGTGAACATCCCTAACGATCTTGTGTATGTCTTTCCCATAACATGTTAGCAATTGAATCTCTAACTTAAAGCATGTCACCTTGATCTATCATATCCAAATGAAAACCCCCTTGAACCACGTTAAAGCCTTCTGTGAGATCTTGAAAATTTTCACCACCATATGTATTGAATAATGTGTCTGCCCTATCCTCCATCCATATATAATTATGCAGTCCACAACATGCATGCGGGATCAACATTTGGCGTTTCAATGGATAATTTGGTATATATTTCAAAATGTGAAATCTTTTTTTACGAACAACAAATAACCGCTCTATGAAATTCCGAACAGATGAATGTACAAAGTTGAATAACTCTTTCTTTCCTCTAACTCCATTACCACTTCACCAATCAGACCAATAATACTGCTCATCACGATATGGTGCTAAAATTCCTTTAGATTTGGATACCCACTATCAACAACATAGAAATAATCTACACCACATAAAGCAAATATATATATATATATATATATATATATATATATATATATATATATATATAAGTCAAGTATTTAGAAACTAGATTAAATATATTAGGTAAAGAAATGTTGAGAAGTCTTACCACCGGTCGATATTGGAAATTTGTTTTTGGGTCTAATAACAGTGTCATAAAATACATGAGAGTAATTCGCTATTCTCTCCCAGCCGGCATACACAAAAGTAAACATCATATCGTGGGAACAAATAGCCATCACATTTTGTGTAATAAGCACTGCTTTTCTGCTTTGGAATGACTTTTGTTTTGATAATGGAGCTCAAGCAGCTACATGAGTGCCATCAATAGCACCGATATAATTCTGCATTGAAATTATGTATCTTAGAGACATAGAGTTTTTATGTATAAGTGTTAACAAGGATATCAGTGAATACCTCAAAGAATAGATACCATCTCGAATCTGCTCGAATTTCTGGTTGAGCTTCACCTCTGTTAGTTGTTTTAACTACTTTAAGAGAAAATGCCTTCAAAGCTCTTAAAACATACTTAAACCAATAATGTACACTACGTGTAGAAAGTTGAAAACAATCCGAAATCATTCCATGGCTTTTTCCATGACATAAAATCCACAAAGTCATTGCCAAACCTTCTTCTACACTAGCATCCCTTCGATCTTCCAATAAATTCATTATCTTTAGTTTATCACACAAGTTTTAAAAACACGTGGTTTCATTCAAATTGCTTCATAACACTAGATATGATTACCGCACATTATCTCTCGAATGTATTCTTTTCCATTTTGCATACATGTCCTACAAGGAGTTCGGTTAATAAAATTCTTATTGATTTTTATTAAGAAAGAAATCATCATCATACCATCCAACTCATCATCTTCATTATCCGAGTAATAGCTACTATCCGATGAATATGACATTGGGACACTTTATCTAAACCATAAACCATTAAATATTAATGCCCATCAAGTAAAATAACACACAAAAAAAATTAAAATCACACATCAAGTTCCATACATATCATCAAAATGTTCCACAAATTGACATCAAGTTTATACATAAACATCAAAAACATAAACTAGTGCAATGTGTTTATATGACATCCCTAAATTCTAAAACAACTACTTATCTAAACTATCAAGCCACTGTTTCCTCCTATTCTCAGACATCATTAGGAACATTCTTCTTCAATTAATATCAAGAAAGAAGGACAATGCTTTAGTATAAGATCTTACACCAACACCAGATGTAGCTTCTAAAGTCGTCATACAATAACTAATGGAGTATTCCTTGGTTAATAAGCTTGTTACATCACTATACTTTTACTTATAAGGTTCTGCTCTTGCTAAATCTCTTTCCTTTAATTAACTATCGATTTGGAAAATGCATCCAACAAGATATTGTATTTGGAATTTCCAGGACCTTTTTTCATTCTTCTTGAACCTGGTAAACCCTCCATTTCCTCTTCGAACATACGTTTTCCCTTCCGACTACCCCCATTAAACTCACTCTCACCAAAACTACGACCCTCTAGATACTCATCCTCAATTTTGTGCTCTTCATCTGATGTTTGAGGAGGCCAAGTTGAGGCATTATGAAAAGCTCCAGAAGCAGTCGAACTATTGAAGACTAAACTCAATAAGGAATAAATCTTACAACCCTTTTCGTGAACGATTTGAAAACTTTATCTCGCTGTAATATATGGTTTAATAATACTTTATTAGTTAGAAAAATAAGTCAAACATTAAAAAAATCATCAGTTTTAAGATATTTTATACATTAAAAAAATCATCCGAAACAGTATCATTAGCAAAAACTTTTCCAGAAACAGCATCTCATGTGACTCTAGTATGGTTAATCAATTCACTAAACTTTAGATCAACAGATTTAAGGTGGTGGTATTTTTCTTTCACCTTCTTGGGACCATATCTTAAAGCAAATTTCATAAAAATCTGATCATCCATTTGTGTCCAATTAGTTCCTTTTAAGATTAGAGCCCCATTCGGATCTCTCTTGACTATTTCCTCTAAAATCTCTAAGAAATATTTCTCACAAACTTCTGTCCACTCCATTGCATCCCTACCGTGCCTACCCATCTATATATAACCAAATTTATTTAAAACTAAACACACTAAAATGATTTTAAATCTAACATAGTAACCAAACTAATTAGGAGTTTTGTAATAACAATGCATAATTAACTCAGGCTATAAAATGAATAGAGGTTATACTAAAATTGAATCTAGGAACATTTACAGTAATATAAGGGATCAAATCAAAAAATAGAGTTTCAGTATAGGCCATTTATTTTAGTGATAAATTAGGAGAATTCTACATACATAGACAGATTTACACACATAGAGATACACAAACTTACATTAATATCTACATATACAGACATGAAATTGAAGTAGTATTGAAGAATAAGTTTAAGATGTATTATAGTCAAATGGCATAGATATCCATAATTTAGATCAAGGTTTTATATTATATCAAGAAATTAGTTTATAAACTAAAACTAGGGCAAGAATCAACCAATTTTGTCACCACCAATAAAAAGTGGAAGAAAACCATCAAATAGAACGATTAGATGCACTGATTATTACCTGTTTTTTTTTTTTTTGGCAAGAACGAGCTCAGAGATGCATAGAGGGAACGAGAAAGCGGATGATTGCCCGAGACGGGAGTTGTTGTCATTGAGAGTAGCTGCTACGGAGACATGGAGGCGACGACGGGAAAGAATCTGAGATCGATATTTAAGAATTGATTCTCGTAAACACCAACAAAATGTAAAATCATAACCATTAAATACATCGATTAAGCTACAAGTAGAATTAAATTTACCTGAGTTTTTTTTGCAATAACGAGCATAGAAACACAAATGCAAAGAAAAGAGATGTTTGTCGGAGAGGGGAGTTGTTGTCGTTGATAGGAGCTGCTATGGAGACATGGAGGAGGCGAATGGAAGGAATTGAGATCGATATGTGAAAAGTGAGTGATACACACTTGATCTGGAAACACATGAATTGCAACAATTGGGCCATGTGCCAAGAAGTAGGGTTGTAATAGTGGAGTACCAATAATTCGTGTTGATCTCAGATTGATAATCCATGGTTACCAAATAATTTGATGGTGGCTTTTAATATAATGTTTTGGGCTAAGTTTAATGCATTAATTCATATGTTTGGAGTAGGATGGGGTAGGGTGGGTAGGTATGAGATAGGTTTGGGTAAGGTGGGTGTGTGTGTGTGTGTGGGGGGGGGGGGTAGGGGGTGTTTGTGTGTGTGTTTGTAGGGGTGGGGGGGGCGGGGGCTAGGGGTGGGTGGGTGTTTGTGGGGGTAAGTGTGTGTGTTTGTAAGGGTAGGGGGTGTGTGTGTGTGTGGGGGGGGGTGATGGTTGGGTGTGGGGTGGGTGGGTGGGAGTTTGTGTGTGTAGGGGTGGGGTGGGGGGAGGGTGTGGTGGAGGGATGGGTAGGTAGGTAGAGGTGGGTGGATTGTGGGTATTAAGGTGATGATAGGTAGATGTAGGTGGGGTGACAGTATATATGTTTATATTTTAGAAAAAATTTAGAAATAAAAAAATGTGGAAAACAATGATTATTGGTTCTTAAAAAATTTTCAATTTCTTTGTAATTTTGAAAAACAAAAAATTTTAATTTTCCATTAAAAATTTAGAAAAATAGACGAACTAAACGCGCTTTCAAATTTCTCATTTTTCTTGGAAATTTTTTCCTGAAAATGACGCATTTTCCTCAACTAAACGCACCCTAAGTTTTGACAGATTTTCTTTCTTCTATTTAGTTATGGTAACATCCCATGTACTTCCCATATAATCCTCTTGAGTAGTAGTAGTGAATGAAGGTATACATAAGAATACTAGGTATTCACAGAGAGAAAACAACAAAATTTCTTGAAGGGTTGAGTTATGAAACATCTAAATTCAGTGGTATAAACATCCAAAGTATGATTATGTTTAAAATCATCCCTTATTCAATTCTTATTGATTTGGATAAAAAAAAACGTATTTGTACTGAAAATAAGCTTAATTTTTGGTATTACCATGTAAGTTATAACTACCTTCAAAGCATTATTCTAATTAGTTTTTCTTGTCATGGATAGGTACTAAACTCTATAAATCAATTTGATTTCAATTACTGAGCTATCTCACGTAGTAGTACTGGAGTAACTTCATACGTACGTAAATTATATGTCTGTACGTATGGTCAAAACAGAAAAACTAGCTTTCAGCTTGGTTTATGACCATTTAACCAATTTTAAAATACCTAAAAGGTATCTTCTACTGTGTTTAATAAGTATATATATATATATATATATATATATATATATATATATATATATATATATATATATATATATATATATATCGTATTTTGTAAAATAATACATGCATACATGCATGTTATTACAAAACAATTTATAACCCTTATATGTGAAAACCTAAACAAAAAACTCAAACATGAGAAAAACAATGGACATGCATCATCATATATGTATACAAATTTTTATTACTTCAAGTCAGATATAAACTTCCCTAAATAAAAATTCAAGGGTTTGAAGTTGGGTCTGTATACTAAAGCGAGAGTCTTCAAACACATATTTCCAATTTTTAACAGGTTGTTTTCAAGTTTAATGAGGCATAAGGCAAAAAAAGGTTGATAAAGTAAGATTAAAACCAATATAATGAAATTAACCCTGAATATTTTCATTTTTCAAGGTGACATGTGGTCCTTGATCTTTTCAAAAAATCGTCGTTAAGTTTCTTGGTCGCCAAAACTTCCACCGAAGGTATGGTGACAGTATGTGATCATCTGATATAAAAAAATTAAAATGTTCCAAAAAAGTTACTGTAAAACTTTATCGATAATTTCTTATTCGCACAAAAATTACCCCCGTAATAGAAGTATACATCAGATTGCACGGTCTAGAGATTCACACAAAAACCGGATCTTCTATTTGAAACGGATTAGATTACACCAAACTAGATCGGATTAATCGGATCCGCCGGTTTAGACCCGTATCCAAATATCCTTTATTAAATTCCACGTAAAATCGTACTAGTATTTGTTTTCTATTAGGTTTATGCGGGACAAGGAAGAACACACTCCAGCCTTTCCTTTATTAAATTCCAATACTAATAAAGTATTCTTCAAACTCATAGCATATAGAGGAGTTCACTAGGTCAAGTGGAAAATCTTTAGTTTCAAAATAAAAGTAAGAATATATAATGTGTACATAACTACATGAATCTAAAGGAATAGCAAATAAAAATATAGAAAAAACAAAATTCAAACGCGAATGTAAATTTATAGAAAACAATAATTTTTTCGGTTAAAATCTTAGATTAAAATTTTTAACTCATCCATTAATTTCACAATTAGAACCATACAGAATAGAAAGCCACACGTGCATACGAACGTCTGTGGATACACAGTCTCAAACTATGTACTTTTGCAACAATCGATCGTATGTTACAATAAACACTTTAAATCTAGAACAAGAGACAATACGATAATAAAAAACAAGAATGCATTTAGAAGGCTCTAACATAAACAAACCAAACGTATGATTATTGGGCTAAACATAAAAGGCAACCCTTCCAACGTCCACTGTGTTCTCGTGTAATCATCCGTGACCTTGCTTCGTTAACTTGATTGTTCTTCTTTTTACCTAGAACGAAATTTCTCGCTTGATAAGACCCTATTTCTTCACTAGGATTTAATGCTGCTATGAGAACCCAAAAATTATTTAGTAATTAATTAAAACAAAAACCATTGATTAATCAACTCTAAAGTCAATATGATTTCAAACCATACCTGATCCTTCAATCAATGCATAGAGCATAAAATTCTTGAAATCTGATCCAAGAACCGGAAGGCGCCCACCACCAGCGTACAACTTCAACGACGAATTTATAACGGTCGACACTTTATCATTTTTTTTCACCACAAGCCTCAATGGCCCAGAACTGGCAACCACATTCACAGTGATCAAAAGCCTGTTATCATGACTATTATTCTTTGTTTTTCCAGGTAAAATCCTTCGCATCAAAACGATTTTCTTCATGTTCTTGTCAGTTTCCATAGTCGAATCTTAGGAAATCAGGGTAGGGTTCGATCAAAGAACTATGAATAGTTGGTAACTAGGAGATTCGAGTGATTCATAAAAAAAAAAAAAAAAAAGCAAGATTCAAAGGTCGGATATTGTGGTTGTAGGAAAGACAGGAGTCAGTTGATTTCAAGAATTCGGAGGTTTGTTTGCAAAGAATAATGTAGGGGCATCTTACCATCTTATAGTATGAGAAGTATATATATATATATATATATATATATATATATATATATATATATATATATATATATATATATATATATATATATATATATATATATATATATGAGTGGTTCAAATGAGAACCACAAAAGATTAAAAACCCTAAGAACCCTCATTTAATAAGTAATATGTATTCTTAATTTTTATGTGTTTGTTAAAAAAATGACAAAATCATATTTTTTTAGTCTAATATTTTCATTCATATAATCATTCTATATTTTTAACCCAAAATTTATGTAAATGCAAATTTATACAGTCCATTTACAGTATAATAGACAAAACTCACAACTTAATACTATCTATTTTACACTAATTCACAAATTTAATGAAGTTAAACCCAAACTCTACCACCACCACCATTAGCACACGCTGCCACCGACTACCTTTGCCAACATGGCAACTATTTTTTTTTTTTTTTTTTTTAAATCTGATCTGCATATATATATATATATATATATATATATATATATATATATATATATATATATATATATATATATATATATATAATGCAATGAGAGGTTAAATACTACATTCATAATTTAATAAACCTATTAATTCACTCATATTGAATTTAATAAAAAACAATTAAAAAACTAATCACTTTTAGGTACTTATATAGCACAAAAAATAAACATATTCTAACATTAATACAGAAGTTCATTCATAAGTCATTTATATTTTAACACAAAATTTATAAAAAAAAAAAAAAATCACTTAAAGATGCAATCAGTCCACAAGTTAATATAACCAATTACCGTTTAATATATAAAATTCACAGTTTAATATATTAAATTAACAAATTGATACACTGAAATTTCATATTCTTAACTTAAAACATACATTTACACTTTCAGATATCAGTTCACAGGTTAATATAATCAATTATCATTTAATACATACAATTCACAACTTAATATATTTAATTCACAGTTTAAACAGAAAATTCATAACTTAACGTAGTCAATTTAAAGTCTTATACATAAAAATCACAGTTTAATACACAAAATTAGGAGCTTAATATAGTCAATTCACAGTTTAAACAAAAAAATTCACAACTTAATGTAGTTAATTCACAGTTGAAAACACAAAAATCATAGCTTAATACATAAAATTTACAAATTATTACAATAAATTCACAACTTAATAAAGAAAAAGTATAAAATTCACAGTAATATTATCAACTTAAAACTCTTAATACAATCAATCATAAGTTTAATATATAAAATTCACAAATTAATACACAAAAACTATATATTCACATCCATATTATCAAATTAATGTTTACATATATACCTTCATATATGGAAGCATGTCTATGTATTAATTTGTGAATTTAATATAGCTTAAAATATAAAAAATTGCAATTTAATACAATATATCCATAGCTCATTTACAAGTATAATACAGTTAATTCACTATTTAATACCCAAAATTCATAGCTTAATATAACAAATTCGTGGTTTAATACACAAAATTCACAACTTAATATAACATTACCAAAAAATCACTTCTTGTAAATCTAACCTTTTGTTTTTAACGATAATGCTTGAAAACCACATGAAATGATTGCCTGAACATATCTCTGCCGGAACTCGTGACCAAAAATCACACATAGTTGTGTTGAACTCACCAGGACGCGTAAACAGTAGTCAAAAAAGATCTACCAACAATGAAAGAAGTCGCCGGAGGAGAAGAAGGGGAAGAGATCTGGCGGAAATCTTAGATCTACTTTCGTTGGCGAGATGAGGACGTGATCCAGATTTGATACATTCGAGATCTACCATATTTTAGTGAAAATCTGGTGGTTTTGGCGGCTGTCTAGAGCAGATCTGAAGAAAAAGTGGTGGCTCATCGGAGCAGATATGTCATTGAAAGAGGACACGACGCCGATTGTGGCGGTTCACAACAACAACGATGTGACATCCCCAAAATCACGGCCAGAAAAGACCGATTTTTGTTTATGCTTTATAAAAATCAGAGTACTTCATTTTATAAAAAGGTTGCGGAATTTGTTCCCAGAAAAACATGGTAAATACGTTATTAAAACATTTTCGAAGAAACGTATTTATTTCATTTTAAAATGTTTGGGATGTCATCGTTAATACCGAAACATAAGCATAAACAGAACTTACAATGATTTACACTAGTGATCTACATCTCTTTTAAATCTCTCAGTGTAATGTCACTTCACTTCGTCACCTGTGATATACATAAACTGAGTGGGTCAGGTTGGGAAACCTGGTGAGTACATAGGGTTTTCAACCCACAATAATATAATTACTATGTTCAATCAAACAATCAACCCAATTACCCATCCCCATTATCTTCTTTACTCTTTAAGGATTTAACCTAAGATTCATCTATCCTGCATTCGTTTATTCCGAAGTCCCTTACCTCCAGGGTTATAGGACTGGCACTAAATCCATAGCTGCCAATGTTCGTTCATAAAGCACTAATTCCATAGCTGCTATGGTCTATTCATCAGGTACTAAATCCATAGCTACCAGTCTTTATCTAATAGGTACTAAGTCCATAGCTACCAATGTTCAACAGGTACTAAGTCCATAGCTACCAATTCCCAACAGGTACTAAATCCATAGCTACCAACGTTTAACAGGTACTAAGTCCATAGCTACCGGTGTTTGTCCCATAGGCACTAAGTCTATAGCTGCCAATGTATCATCTTCTATCTCTCATCATTCATCTACCCATCTCATACCCAACATATTCGTATATATAAAATACGTATACAGCTTAAATTCTATAAAACATGTATAAAACGTTCATCCAGCATAGACAGCAAGTATTCAGATAATATGCACACATAGCACGTAGTTTATATAAAATACTTCATATCTATGTGTAAGATGAAAGGGACTATGCACTCACCTGAGAAGGTGGTGACTCGGTACTCGGACAGTGCTTCGAAACCTAATATTATCACCACTAGATTTTAGTCTAATATTATCGTCACTAATTATTAGTCTTATTATTATTATTATTATATAAGCGTTTAAACAATACTTTCCAACTACTATGTACAGACAGTGGCCAGACATAAAACACCGGAGGGCAGGACCATTTTGGCGTATAGCACTTCTGAAATCCAATAACCCTATGCGGCCCTTTAAACCAGATTCCCCGTACCGCGAGTAGTTAAAAGATATTATAACGACACTTATATAAGTCATAATAATAGCTCAAATATTTATTATAAATTTATAATAACAATACTAATTTTAAATATAAACTATATTTAAAATAGGGTAAGCATAACTTACTTTCAAGGAGATTTTAGCTAGGAGTCGGGCTCTGCAGGGGCAGAACTTCGTCGCTGAATCTTTCTAAGAAAGATTCGTGCAGCGGTTCAGCGCTCGCCTTACTATACTAAAACTACAGAAAGAGAAGTCGAATCACGAGGGACCGAAATGCTCGGGGGATAAGGAGAGAAAGACTCTTGAATCAAGAGAATGGTGCAAGAAATATGAGAGCCCAAGGCTCTTATTTATACTAATTGAATTTTCAAAAACTACCCTCCATAATTACTTAATGACCTTTTAGTTATATAAACAACTAAACACCCCTCTATAATACTATTTTAAATGGATTTAATGATATTTGTACTAAACTAATGTCGAAAGAACTCAACATTAGTCTTATAATGACCGCATCGTCGATACCTTTCTAATGATATATACATATGTATATATATGTGTACGTATACATGATTTATACTTTATTTTAATACGTAAATATGCTATTATAATTTGTAACTCGTTCATACGAACTCCGTTTTTGACGTTCTTTATATCCACGCGTAGGTGGAGACGTACTCTACAACTTTCGTTTAGACTCCGTCGGCTAATTTTGACTTTATTTTTAAAGTTATATTTTTAACAGGCCGGGACAGGATTGGTCCGTTAAAATCTCATAACTTCTTTATCCGATGTCCATTTTCGTCTGTCTTTTTATCGTTACGCTACTAATAACGAGATCTTCGATTCTTGTTTAGGTTGTGTCGGCTAAAAATCAATCGATCTAAAATTCGAATTTCGGGCTGTACACCGCTAATCCGAAACTTCGAAAAATCATAACTTCTTCATACGAAGTCAGATTTGGGCGTTCTTTTTATCGATGTTCTTAGTTTAACATATTCTACGACTTTCGTTTAGAGCGCTAAGGCTAAATCTCTCTCTATCATAAATTTACTATTTACGCTTCCCAGCGTCGTGCCGGTTCCGACGCGAAACTTCGACGGGTCATAACTTCTTCGTTATAACTCGGATTTCGGCGTTCTTTATATGTACGGAAACCTTGTGACATATTCTATAACTTGGTTAAGATTATTTATTCTAAACAATCTTTTTGTCGAAAAGTTGTTTTTGACCCCTATTGCCTTTAAATTGACTAGCCCGGATCTGCGGGCGTTACAATTATCTCCCCCTTAGGATGATTACGTCCCGGAATCATCAACGAAAAAGGGCTCGTATAATGACTCCATACGTCATCTCTTCATCCTAGGTAATAATTATAACTTCTATATTCCTTCAAGTCTATCTCTTAGACTCATTGACTGTAAGCAGTACTCGATCGTGCACCTGCTCTCTACCTCAGGCTAGACTTCAAATTATGACCTATCATCATGTGATGCACGTTTAGACTTAGGTCTCTTAGAGTTAAATTCTAAAATAGACTATGCCTTCCTTCATGTTCTAATGTGATATAATCCACTACAAGAAAAATGGGTA